AAATTTTGAATGCGAGTCAACAAACGCGATGACATGGCCTTTCACCCGTCACCCATCTGGAAAGGGTTAATTCTATAAATTTCGAACATGACTTGTGGACACCAATTTGAGAAATGCCAGACAAGGCAGAAGGGAGCTAGTAAGTAATAATACAAAAAAACATTCAGTGCTCTATAATTATTATAATTTAATGGCTTTCTAACTAGGCTATAAGTGCATTGAAATAATTCCCTTACTTTTTTTGACATTAATTCAGTGATGGCAACTTTGAATCTTTAGGCTGAATAATTCAAAAGTTATGAGAATTAGCTAGCATTATACATAAATTGGTAAATTAAAATCTCTTTCTATTGGTTATAAATAATGTAATGCCAAACATCAGAGAGAATTATTGAATTGGCATGTGAGTTTTCTTTTCTGGTTTATATCTTTAAATCAAGATGATTGGAGATTATAAAATTAGATTGTCTCGGCAATATCTATCCTATATGTTTGTGCTAAAGCTCAGAAGCTCAAGTAAAGGTGGAAAAAATGTTTAAATGGGTAGGTTGGAATGAGCAAGTGTCACATGATATATAGAAGTGGAGATTGAGAATTTATTTAGATATTTCCTTTTATGATTAAAAATTTCATTTATTAATTATTTTTGATATCAAGTTTATTGGCATAAATTGTTAATAAAGTTGTTTACTTAAATTTTGAGTGTAACTCTAAAATGTTGTGCCATGCATTTTAACCCTCACTTGCATAAATAGGGTTAATGTATCCATAATGCATGTACTTATTCTTGGCATTCATGACTTGCATTGTGTCTGATTTTTAGGTCGTTGATAATGTGAGATGGGTAATTAATGTTTTAATAGCATACAAGTATAAAGAAAAAGATTTATTGCTAAATAAAAAAGCTATGTAGTAGGGCCGGCTACTGAACTTGAAAAAAGGAAAACCAAACAAGATAGAGATGGAAGTGGACATATTACTTGATCAGCTAATGATCACCTAGCAGATTAAGCTGTTTCAACTTTACATGGAGGATAAAATCCATACATTACTGGCTTCCCCAATTAGTTTATCAAAAGTTTGGTGTTTGATATAGAATCTAAGATTTCATCATACCTTTCCTTTAGCTGTTTCTATTTGTTTTGCGAGTAAGGAAGCCAGCAGTGTAGGGATTTTATTCTCCATGTAAAATTGAGACACTTAATCTGCTATGTGATCATTAGCTGATCTAGTGATATGTACATTTCCATCCTTATCTTGTTTAGTTCCTTTTTTCAAGTTAAGTAGCCAGCCCTGCATAGCTTTTATATTTAGCAATATATTTTTTTCTTATACTTGTTTGTTTACTTTTTTTATAAGATGGTTATAAAGTATATTCTAAATAATAATAAAATAGGTATTCAGAGATTGTGAAGACTGCTTTGCTTTATCAAATGATGATAGAATTATAGTTACTGCTAGAACTAGGTTGGAGCTAGGCCTATTGAAGAAAGATGATTATGAACAAAAATAAGAAATCTCAGTTCTGGCTATTCACCAGTTTTTGACTTTGGGATGCTTTGGATAGCTGAAAAGCTGCATATACACTGAAGATAGAAAGTTTATGCCAGGTAGCTCTTCATATAACTAGCTAGCTTCTGATAACCTGTAGAGAAGAAGATCCAGATAACTTTTGTCTTGGTTCAATACGGCATCCATGCCATCCCTACATAGAAAGTACTAACGAACTCTCCAATACTGGTCGCTGCAATGTTAACATGGCAAGAATGAACTTTTAATGAAATGCATATAAAATACATTGGGCATTATTGCATATCATCTATAAACAAAATATTACTTTTTTTAATGTGGTCCAACCACAAACAAGACTTGCTGAACTACTTCCTATACTTTTGGGGTTGAGAAGTGCACGTTTAATAGACCAGTTAAAAAAATTTGTAGTTTATTGCCCTTAGATTTGAAAAAAAATGGAAATGGAGGATGATTTTTTTTTATTTATTTATTTTTTTCCTGATTTCCAATTACACTGTTACGTGGAAAAAAATTGAAGGATATCACTGACATCCCATTAGGTCAAAAAAGGGAAATTAGTTGTCTTGGGGTGTTGGTGATTTCAAGTAATGTCTGGCAGATATTAACTGCCAAGTTATTTTGCTTGACTTTAGCTATAAACTATTTTGTATTAGGATTAAAGGAAGAACTAGCAGCTAATAATAAAAATAAATGTCATTTTCAAATTACAAATCTCAAAGGGTAATATCAAAAACTTGTTCACTGTACAATCACTTAGAATTGTGCAGCCATTTTTGAATTATCTAAAAAGGCAGCCATAGAAGTAGCTTGTTGAAACCTGCTGTACCTTATAGAGGATATTACATAGAAGGTTACAAAATATATGTTAGGGCTGAGTAGTTTTATTTGAATAAATAGTTTGTAATATATATATATATATAATTAATACTAAGTATTTCTTTGTTGAAGTAAATTGCAAAGAGTGATAGTTTTCTGTACAACATACTAAAACTTTAATGTTAATAGTTAATATTTGGCAGTTTGTATCAAACTTCCATTTTTGACAGCACAAGACTCAGAAGACAGAGAATTACTGTCAGCTTTATTACATCAACCTTTGTCAATTGGGCAAAACCTTCCTTTTGTGTCAAGCTACAACCATGATTCCTCCATCCAGCAATCTCTGAGTTTGCCACCAGGTGGCAGTGGACTAACTCCTAGACAGTCTCCTCTTACAACAGAGTGTCATGGTCGAATCCCATCACCCTTAAGTATTTATTCCTTTTGTGTAAATTTTTTATTAAATTTTAAACATGGAAACACTTGTATTTTGGTGTGGTTTAGGATAATAAACTAGCCAATTTTCAGGATATGTATATTGTAACTAAAAATCTGCCAAGGAGTTATTTCAGGATCCTAGCATCTTCAGGCTCAGAATAATTAATCTGTTATGAACTGCACTTTAGAAGTGGTTTTTGTTATTTTTGATTATGTTTGTAGTAACTGTTGACTATATGAAATGGGCTTCTTTTGAATCTTTTGTTTGATATCATAATAGTAATGCTCATGACCTGTATAGAATTATTCTCTTTGTAATGTTGTTTTTATGAGATTATAGTCTTTAATTTAAATCCTTATTTTTTATTACACGTAGTTGTAGTTGACAGCTTATTATAATTAAATTGTTTTCAAAACTTATTTTGTTGATTTTCAGTATTTGGACAGCAACCTCCAGTACTAAGCCATGCTCCATCTCCTATACATCCAACCCAACTGTCCAGAACATCTAACACCCTGCAGGTGGAGGTAAGAGCTGCTAGAAGAGGTTACTTAAGTTAATATTTTCAAATTTATGATTAAATTATATGGTGTTATGCATTAAGAATTGGGATGAGATATGTGAATTTTTTCATTTTAATTGATCTACACTTTGTAGAATGTAAATTAAGTAAGGAATTTATAGGAATTTAGGTGTTTATTGTTCAATTTGAAGTATTGGGGAGGGGGAACAAATAAATTTAGAAATCCACTTAACACTTGTTTATTGGTAAACTTGGTCTGGTACTTCTATGGTCTATACTAGTTCAACACTGGTTAAACCTGTGTTTTTCCTTGTACTTCTATACAATCCAGATTCAGAATCTAGTTTTTATGTTATACAGCTTTATTTTCTTCCTTATGCTTCGAGAAACCTCCTCCTAGATATTTCTGTAGGTACCCAATATCTTGTTGAGATAATACTTTGACAGGAGGAGAGATGGCAATGGTGGTTAATTACGAAGAGTGAGATTTACATGTATATATATAATTTCATGCCAAGAGCATGAATGTGCAGAGTTACTGGGCATCTTCAAATAGGTCTGTCCCCAGGATTATTACTTTTTTTTAAATATTTATTCTATTTTATTAAAGCTAAATGGTGCATTTTGAAGGATTAAAGGGATGCATAATGAAAACTAGAAAGTATAATATGCTTTTATGAAGGCCTAAGTATAAAAAATATAATACCATAAATCTTCCACAATAATAATTTCATGTTCCAAAGGAATCTTCAAAGGTGAATTGTTTAGAATTTTTTTTTTTTTCCACGTGAAAATACATGTAACTATACTATGAGCAATCATTGATGGTTACTGACAAATTGTCCTCTGTAGTAAAGTAACTTGTATTATTTGAAGGAATATTCTAAAAAATTTCTTATGAAGTTCCTATTGCAAATTTAGTGGTTAATTTTTCCCTTCCAACATTAAGAACCTTTTAAGTTTAATTAATATTATACAAACCTTTACATTTGGTCACTCATAGTAACTTACCTGCTGACTATTTGATTTCATAGATACTGATAAATGCTGTTAAAAATCAAATTTAGATCATTTATTGTTGACATGCTTGTTAACTGTTTGATTTTCAGACAAATCCTGTAATACCTCGTATTCCTTCACCACAGGAGCTTGCAGCTCACACACAGTCTATCTTGCAGAATGCTCTAATTAAGCATAAGCTTGCAGAACAGCAGGAAAAATACAGGAAGCGACAGGAAGCATTAAGGTTAAAATTTTCACTTTTCTGAAAAATTTGGTGGGAAATCAATCAGAGTTGCAAGTTTGGTGCCATCTGGTTACTTATCACACAATAGAAATAATAATGAAGGGAACGAAAGGTAATGGAAAATTAATTACAAAAATCAAATTTGGAAATTATAAAAGCTATATTCAACATATAGATAATTTGTCAGAGCTTTGAAAGCTTTATGAACAGTAAACAAAGACTGTTATAAAATCTTTACACTTTATTAACTAATCCTTCATATTACACTGATGCTGTTGGATTCTGTTGAGTATAACTTACCAAGAATTAGGACAAACACATTTTATATAAATATGATTAGTTTATATTTGGCTAATTAGAGTTAGTTCTACAATTGTTGATTTTTATCAATACTGACCAAAATATTCATGCCTATTATAATTTGTGTAAAGAAATCATTTTAGCCTTGAAATTTAATCACTTGGAAAAACAATGTAAATACATTATGATAAAAAGTGCATAACTAGAGTTTACCATTTGATTATACAATCTGGCATAACTGCCTCTGTGGTTTTAAGTAAAATGGGTAGATTATCACAATAATTAACCATATGTAATGATGCGAAATATGTTTTTTTTACTTGAAAATGATTTTATTTTTATAGTGTCATTGGAAGTTTATATAAAATTACTACTGCATACATTTTATCTGCTTAAATATTGATGGAACAAAAACTGAAGGAGAGATGTTTTTTTTTTCAGTGATGTTTTAGCAATTACTGTGTGAATAATTATTTTAAAGCCAGGAAAAAAAAATTGTTTACTCCTTTAGGACCCATTCACCAAGTATCCATGTCTCTGTAAACAGTTCTTCACCATCTAAAGTAAGTTATTTTTATTTTATAAGACGTATATAATTTCAAACATTACAGGACTAATACACAAATGTGTGTGTCTTTGTATATCTGAAGTTACAGCTTCAAGTAGTAATTTTAATTACTTGTAGATACATTGTTTTAGATTAATGCAGGTTACCGCTTATACATTTTTTGATTGACTTTTTAATATTACCATCTTTAATATAATTTTTATATTTACTGCTTTTGTATTTATGAACAATGTTATTTGACAAAGGAATTGAAAGTGAACATATAATTGGTCATGTAATCAGTCTTTATTTTGTGGACATTATTCTGTCATTTATATTATGTTTTTATTGGACCAATTCCTAGAATTGAGTAGAGATGGTATAAAACTCAACAATAGCAATAGTAGTAAAAACCATATATGAAAGCCATTTGAGGAAACCTTTGAATAAAATTATTTTCTTGTCAAGTGCATCATGTGTTTAGTGAATATAATGATTTTCCATTTAACTAACATCAGTGTACAAGGTGAATACAGTGATGTTTTAGTTACCTGTTTATATATATATATATATATAATCAGTTAATAATTTGATTTGTGTCAATTGTGGCATTCATATGCTTAGGGAATAACTGGATTTTACTTGTTATCAGTGTACTTTCATTAAATCACATTAGCTATTGAGTTAGTAAACTTTTTAGAGAATGATAAAATTTTCACTGTCTAGTGTTTGAGCCCCACAATGGCTGCTTTCACTCCAACTTCTGTGATAAGAAAGATGCACACAGACAAGTCGGACAGAGGAATTGGAAAACTGGACACTATTAGTGCTGTTAGTGGGCTGCAGAGTTTAACAGGTTTGAAACACAGTTTTTGTATTATTGTTATATTACTAATGTAATATATTGTAGATTGGATGTAAGTTTTTTAGAATAGCAACACTGACATTTAAAAAAAAAATTACCATTGTGAGAGCTTTTTAATGTTGTAAGTAATATATGAATTAATCACAAGTATGAGTAAATAAAATACATAAGCTAACTTTTAGCAGATGATGTTTGGTCTATCCTAGGCATTTCTTAATGCTACCAGTGACCCTATATAGTTCTTAGTAGAAATAAGTCCTATTCATATGGATAGTGATGGATAAATTGTATAATATTTTTTATTTCTTGTTAGTAAGTTGAATTTTTCAAATATTTTGTTTTTACAGTTAAGCTATCAGATAAGAAAGCTTTGATAACACTTTTCTATTTATTAACTTCACTTTTTACTACTTTTATGGCTGTAGCTGTTCTTGCCCTTTCTGATATGATTGTATAACTTTATTATGTTCTTTGGTCATTACTGTACTTGCTCATTACTGAATTAGCAAATGTTGCAGAACAGGCTTCAGTTATAATATTTTGTTGTTAATGTGAAAACTGAATGCAGTCTCATCCCCTTCATTTTATTTTTTTCATTGCTTTCACCCATTAAAGTTTTCTTCTACTTTCTTACATCATAACTTTTATACACCCCCCCCCCCCACATTGATAAATTATCTTACCATTTTCTTCTCTCTGAGAAATTTTGCTTCTAGTTGTACATTTTCTTAGTCTTGCATATCTTCTTCTCTACCACAGATTTGCTTCTGAAAAGTTATGCCTTTCTTCATAAATTTTCACAGTTTTCTTCTAATAATACCCTATTTTATAATTTTATCTTTATTCTCATGTAGTTAAATGTGATGTGTAAACTGTGTGTGTATCAAATCTTTACTTTCATGTAGTTAGTTCAACTCTTCATACCTTAATAGGTGCAGTCTGCCTCATGGGTAAAGTTTCTCCATTAAATAAAAAAATATATAGAAAACAAACTTGTAGTAATTTTTTAAAATTTCATATTTGGATTTCAGCATGATTCCAAACAAAGTCATTAGTGTTTGTGACTTTACTGAATTTTTTCTAACCATAATATGGTATTCATAACCCTTAGGAGCAAAGCCATAATACTTTTGAACAAAGTAGCACTTCTTTTGTCCTTGTAACTTCAGTACAAGCAAGTGTAGTTTTAACAATTTTTAACAAGTCGCTGTTTCTTAACCTCTAATATCATGGTATGATGTAATTGCTCATATCTCAGCTTAGATAAGTCATAGACTACTGGAATAAGTACATCATGAAAGCCCTCTTTTTTTTCCCATTTTGAACTGTAAAAGCCAGTAAGACTTCCAGCTCAGTGGAAATTTATGTAGAGATCTAAATAAAGACATAAAAGCTTAGCTTGATGATATTTTGGGAAAAAAAGTGTTTTTAAATAATTTCCACTACAATTGCAGTTATTTTTTTAAAGCATGCAAAAAGTTTGCTTTATCATTTTTAAGTATGATAGTTAAATGTTTTCGTGGAATAAGAAGGGGTTGGCTTAGTTAACTCATTTTTCACTTGACTGTATCATATTTTGTTTCACTGACAAGACTAAAAAACTTTTCAAAATGAGTAAGGAAACTTGGCATCAGAATGCATCTTACTATTCAAATAAATTTTTATTTTATCTAAATTTCAAAAAGAAATTAAAAAATTCTTAATCTTCTTGTATTGCCAGGTCACATGCAAATTCTCAGTTCTCTCTCTCTTTAGTCTGTATAACTTTATTATAGCTTCTACAGTGTCTAACTAATATAAACACAAGCTGTAAGTAATGACAAGGTCAAATGTACAATTATTTACATGTTTATATTCATTAGAAAGAGCCATTTTTTCTATCTTGAGCTTGAAAATGTCCTTTGAATTTAATGGCAATAGACTAGTTGAGAGGAAGTGATTGGGGTATGTATAATCGAAGTTTTGCTCATAGCAGTAATGGAATGCTTTTACTGTATTTGTAGGGTAGTTAGAAAGTCAGTTATGTGATAATAGTTTTGAGATGTTGTGTTCTAAGATGCATATTCTAGAGGCATATTTGAAAAAGTACGAAATTAAATGTAAAATATTCTATAAAATTCTTCAATTTTGTTTGGTTACAGAGCTATCGATTAGAAAATCAGATCCTTCCTACCACACCCACTAGTCACATCCTCTTTTTCACAATTCGTTGATAGTTCTCTCTTACGTTTCAATTTGTATTACCTATAACCAATAGAAAGTCATGGTTTTCATCTATCAAATGATGTATTGTGTAACGTTGTGTTCTGAACAGAATATTGCCAATTTCACTCACAGTACAAGATTTCTTCCCATGGGCAAGTTAATGACTAGCTTGGATGAATTTGTAATGTCTCTTGTCACATAGTTAGAAAGCCAGGATAATTTTGAGAGGTAAGTGAATTTATCTACTTTTTGCATGTTATTTGTCTATATTCTTTGGTGCATTATTTAATTAAATAAAAATTAAGTGCATTACTATCTATAGTATGAAAAATTAGGGTTAACTCTCTTTGAAAACCCGAGAGCAAGAAAAAAGAAGATTAGGCAACTACTTTATTTCTTGTTTTTCATATTTATTCTTTATCTATTATTAAAGAAGTAACTAAAATCTAAACATATGGATCTTTTCAAGTTATTTAAGACTTGATCAGGTAAAATAAGTAATAATAATAATATAATTAAACTGGTTCAATAGGCACTCACGTGAGCTGCATGTTCCCCGAGTGATACAACTTATAATGGTGCAGATGGTAGTTAGACACGGTTCAAAGGGCAATAGAACAATAACATTTAATAAAAATAGATGTATACTGTTACGAACATAGAGCTACTTAGGATTTTGTTTTTGGTGGTTATGAGCTTGGTCAAATTGACAGATCCCGTTTTGAGATAGGGTAGAGAAAATAACAGGTAAACTATAAAGTTTTACTAAAAAAAACGTTTGAAATGCATTTAGGAGGTTTTAGGGATTACAAAGAAAATCTGAGATGAGGGAAAGTATTTTTAATTTTAACATGAAGATTACTTTTGCACATGAATTATTCATGGACAAATCTTTATTTTATTTTATTAAAAATACTTCACTAAAAATATTATTTTTTGTATGTGAAAGACTTATAATATGAACTCAAAGACTGCCAAATTTTGTGAAGATAAACACACACTATATTGAAAGTTAGAAGTATTAAATCTATAAAGACTTCAATCGAGTACAAAGAGGTTACGTGGTCAGTCAAATTGACAGAGCTCGTGTTGAGAGAGTTAACTAAAGGATGGGACAAGTATTTGGTATATAAACAAAGTGTACTCTACCATATTCTTCCTCTTCCAGCATCACAGAGTATAAAACTAGGTTAAATGTTTTTCAATGGCAACCCCTGCATTGCTATTATCACCAGTACATCTATGCAGTTGTCTATGAATCTCACCCTTCCTGTACACTTGGTGCAACTTTGAATATTTAAACCTCTTGCAATTCACTTTATCTATTGACAAGACTAGGATAATATTAGCCAATATAGCAAAATCAAGGAGAAAAGTGATGATGCCAATCATCACCTATGTTGTGATAACCGACCAACCAACAAGTCTGAAGAACAAGCTGAAGAAGTAACATAGATCTATTGTTATTCAATTCAAGATTTCTACACATGACTTACCAAATGATAGTTTTAGCTAAATGTACACAAGCTAAAAGTAAAATGGGTAATTTTTATTTAGTTTCTGTTACAAAATCCCTGGAAAAAGAATACCATGTTTTAGGGTTGAGAAAATGCATGAAATGCACATTTGTTTTTCATATAATGTAATCCATGGTCTATGTACTTTCCTATACTTGTTTAAATAAAGGATGGGACAAGTATTTGGTATACAGTTATATAAACATAAGTGTACTCTACCATATTCTTCCAGCATCACAGAGTATGAAACTAGGTCAAGACTTGTCAACAACTAATCAACCTTCAATGGGACCCTTTCCTTCCCACGTGCTAACTATGGATAGGTTCGTCAGGCCAGATGTTAATTCAACTGAAAATACAATTGGCCAGATTCCCAGAGCTCTACATGGACAAGGGGCATCTCGAATACAGGGCAGTGGTCAGCCCTTTACCAGTCATGGTCGACCCATTGTGAAAGCTGCTGGAGGATACAACGTGAGTGGGGATCGGTACTCAAGGCCTGGAAGTAAATTTGGAAATGCACCAAACAAACCTTTCCCAATTGGTACTTACCAAAGTAAGTTTCTTACTTGTATTCATAGAACTATGCTGTAAAGTATATCAAAATATGGGATATGGGTAGCACTTTTAAGAGCAATGACAGTGGGGTTGTATTGGAAGTATGGCACATAAATATTATACTTACATCTTTTCAGCAATAAATATTGTTTGTACAACACTCAGAATGTACAACTAGTCAGTGGTATTTTTTCCTTAAATAAATATATGTACTTTGAATGTCTTATTAATTCCAGTAGAAAATTGATTAAATTATATACTATATGGTTATGGTTTTGTTTCATTAAAATTTTTATTCTTACAAACAACTGGTTATTTTCACTTTATTCTATGCTATGTTGATATATAGTTTACTTTCTTTTTTTGGCTATTTTTTATTATTGAACTGTATATTTAAATTAATATTATAAAGTGCAGCATAATAGGATAACATAAAACAAAATGTTATTAAATGACCTTAGTAAATTTTCTGACATTAAAATTCAGCAAAACCAATCTATATTAAACATTAGAGTAGATTAAAAGTTGAATTGAGAAAAATTTGCTGATTATTTTAGATTCTCAAGACTTGGTCTCAAAAGTTACAGAACAGCATCGTTTTCAACATCCTCACAATTTTGTTAACGTTAATCGACCACCACCTGGCCACTTCAGTTCAATTTCTCGTCCTCAAGGCCCAGTAATTGGAAGTAATCCAAATACACCAACTCTTGCAAGACCAGGGAATCTTAGTACTTCCTTTTCACAACATTTTGACTCGGGCAACCTCAACCCTTCTGCACCTAGAGGTAAATGTAACATAAAAAACAATCTGTCCTGGTACAATTAATTAAATTCTCCAAAGTGTTCTCAGCTTTTCTAGAATCAATTTTATTATGAGGTAGACATTAATCTAATAGTGTGTATTGTTAAAAGCACTCTTGGAGAAAGTGTTATAATTTAAACACTTGCCCAAATATATAAATCTTTAAGCTGTATTGTTAATGATACTTTAGGTGTTAACTGTTGTGAGATGTTTTACATTTATGGTATCTTGTTTTAATAAATTTGGCTGATTAATATTCATTTATATTTCCATCTTCCATTTATATTTATGAACTATAATAAAAGTAAATGCTTTTAAGTTATTCCTAAGTTTTAGTAAGGTGAATTTCTCTGTTTTGCACTCACTTTAAAAATGGAAATATTATACAGTTGTATTAGAACTGTAATGTACTTGCTTAGTTTCAGTTCCACCAAATACAATCAATCAACTAGCTCAGCTGTTAGCCCAACATCAACAGCAACAAATCCTATCCCGAAGTAGAGCAGTGCCAAACCAACTGGCTCTACAACAGCTCCTGCTTACTGCACACCATCAGTCAGCAGCATCTCAGGGTCAGTCTGTTAACCAGGGGAACTTGCATACTAAAGGAGATGGTAGGGGAGGTAGGTATTTAGTACTCCTCATCTTTATAGATAGTTGAGCTGGCAAACCACATATAATTTAAACGTATCTATCCAGGCTTTGTCATTTTGACCAACCTTGTAACTAGAAAACTATACAAAACTTTGAATTTAGTAAGTGTATCTTCACAAAATTTGGCAAGCTATTAGTAATAATTAAAAGTCTATTGTACACAAAATATTATAATTTTTAATGATGATTTGTTTCTGAATTTATGAAGCCTTTGGTGAGTCAGTTCAAGTGCAAGGTGATTATCATGTCAAGAATAAAAATACTTTTTGTCATCTTACAGTTTTCATATTTCACTTACATAACCCCTAGAATATCTTAAATGAATATTTTACATTTTATCAATTATTTTCTCTACTTAGCACTAATTGGTTAAATCATCAACATACAGTGATATGAAATTTGAAAAATTATGAAATGAAATTGACAATACCTTTTTTCTCTTCTGTAAATGAATTATTTGTTGCCGTACTTTTAGAATTTTCACATTTATTTTAAATTTATAGTTCTCTTGGCTGACAATGTTTTTCTTCATGTCTGAAGAGCAATACATCATATTTGCATACACTTATATATGTGCCCCCTGCAACTTTGGACTGGTGCACTCATCAGTCCCTACTTTTTTTCTCTCCAAGTCTGTTGACAAGAAAAACTAATTTAAATGGTTTTCTAACTAAGCTCTTTAACCCTTTTGCGAGGGGCTCGGTATAAAATACAGTAGTTCATACACACATTTCCACACATTAAGTATTTATACTATAAATTTTAATGCTGTATATGTATCTTCACAAAATTTGGTAAACTTTTAGCAATGATTCCAAGTTATTTATCCACAAAAAATCATTTTTTTAATGAAGTATCTCAAATATTATTTGTATAATCTCT